CTACTAAGCCAGTATGGAGGGGAAATGTGGGGTTGGAGGCCCCACAGAATCCCCACTGGGGTACTGCTCAGTGGAGCTGTGGGAAGGGGGCCACTGTCCTCCAGACCCCCAAATGGTTGATCCTCCAGCAGCTTCCACCCTGTGCCTGGAAAAGCCTAAACTCCAACCCTTTACCCTGCAAAGTCACAAGGGCAGAGCTTCCCATGGCTTTAGGAGCCCACCCCTTATACCAATGTGCTCTTGTGAGGCACAATGTTAAGACATGGAGTCAAAGAAGGTTATTTGGGATATTTAAAACTAAAAGACTGTGCTGCTGTATTTCAGACTTGGATAGGGCCTGCAGCCTTTCTTTTGGCTAATTTCTCTTTTTTGGAATGGTAATACTTATCCAATATCTGCACCCCCGTTGTATCTTGGGAGTAAATACTTTGAATTTTAGAAGCTTATTGGTGGAAGAGACCTGCCTTGTCTCAGAAGGGCTTTGTACTTTTGAATGATGCTGGTATTAAGATTTTTTGGGAGAATATTGGCAGAGGATGATTGTATTTTGAAATGTGAGAACATAAGATTTCAGGTTCCGGGGCAGAATGATACAGTTTGCATGTGGTCTCCTCTAAAACTCATGTTAAATTATAATCCCCAGTGTTGGAGGTAGGACATGGTGGGAGATAACTGGATCATTGGGGCAGATTTCTCATGAATGTTAGTGCCATCCACTTGGTGCTGTCCTTGTGATAGTGAGTTCATAACAATATCTGGATGCTTAAGTGTAGCATCTTCCCCCTCATTCTCATCTGCTCTTGCTATGTGAGATGCCAGGTCCCCCACTGGCTTCTGCCATCATTGTAAGTTACCTGAGGCCTCACCAGAAGCTGAGCAGATGCCTTGCACCATGCTTCTTATACAACTTGCAGAATTGTGAACCAATTAAACCTTTTTACTTTATAAATTACTCAGTCGCAGGTATTTCTTTACAGCAAATTAGACAATAGGTTAACACAGAAATAGTTGAATTCACTATTACAGTTGGAGACTTCAACACTCCTCTATCAGAAATGAGGAGATCCATCAAGCAGAAAATCAGGGAGTCAACGGAGAAAACTGATGAAACCAGAAGCTGGTTTTTGAAAGATGAAATCAGTAAACCTCTGACAAGCCAGACTAAGAGAGACAAAAATTAATATCAGAGATGAAAGAGGGGATATCACTGCAGATCCCATGAACATTTACAAGGGTAATAAAGGAATATCACAAACAATTGTATGCCTACAAATTTGATAACCTACATGACAAAGTCCTTGAAACACACAACCTGCCAAAACTCACACCAGAAGAAATAGATACTCCAAATACACCTGTATCTATTTTAAAAATTGAATCTATTGCCTTCACAAACAAAATGCTAGACTGAGATGGGTTCACTGGTGAATTCTAAAAATGATACTAATTCTGTAGAAACTCTTTCAGAAGGTAGAAGCAGAGGGAATGCTTCCTAATTCATTCTATGAGGCCTAAAACCAAAACCAGACAAAAATATCACAAGAAAACTACAAAATAGTATCTTTAATTAACATAGATGTAAAAATCCTCAATAAAGTATTAGCAAATCCAATTCAACAATGTATAAGAATTACACACCAGGATCAAGAAGGATTCATCCCAGATATGCAAGGCTGGTTCAAATATTGAAAATGAACTAATAGAATCTATCACACAAAGAAACTCAAGAAAAATCATATGATCACATCAATAGATCCAGAAAAAATATGACAAAATCCAAAACCCATTCATGATAAAAATTTTCCATAAACTAGGCTGGGCGCAGTGGCTCACACCTGTATTCCTAGCACTTTGGGAGGCTGAAGCAAGCAGATCACTTGAGGTCAGGAGTTCAAGACCAGCCTGGCCAACACGAAACCATGTCTCTAATAAAAATACAAAAAATTAGCTGGGTGTGGTGGTGGGCACCTGTAATCCCAGCTACTTGGGGGGCTGTGGCAGAATTGCTTGAACCCAGGAGGTGGAGGTTGCAGTGAGCCGAGATCGTGCCACTGCACTCCAGCCTGGGTGACAGAGAGGCTCCATCTCCAAAAAAAAAAAAAAAAAAAAAAAAAAAAAAAAAAAAATTCTCCAATTCTCTGTAAACTAGGAATGGAGGGGAACTTTCTCAACCTAATAAAGAATATTTACCAAAGATCCCCACCAGTAACATCATATTTAATGGTGAGAAATTTAGCAGTTTTCCTACTAAGGAGGAAGGCAAAGATGTTTCTTTTCACTATTTTCAACATTATAATGGAAGTCCTGGTTAATGCAATAAAACAAAAAAAGGAAATAAAAAGTATACTACTTGGGAAAGGAGATATAACATTAACATTGTCTCTGCTAGCCGATGACATGATGAAAATCCAAAAGAATCGATCGCAAATCTCCTAGAACCTATATGCAATTCAAGGTTGCGGGATACAAGGTTATTATATGAAAGTAAACTGCTTTCTTATATAACAGTAATAACTCAAATTTGAAGTTAAAACCCAATGCCATTTCTATTAGCACCCCAAAATGAAGTATTTAGGTAAAAATTAAGAAAATATACATAAGATCTACATGAGAAGAACTATAAACCTGATTAAAGAAATCAAAGACCCAAATAAATGGAGATTTCATATTCATGGATAGGAAGACTCAATATTGTCAAGATGTCAGTTCTTCCCAACTTGATCTATAGACTCAATGTAATCCCAGTTAAAATCCCAGCAATATTTTGTGGATATTTGATAAACTGATTTTAAAGCTTATCTGCAGAGGCAAACAACCTGCAATAGCAAACACAATATTGAAGGAGAAAATCAACATTGGAGGAGGAATGATTGATAGTACTTATCCTCAAGATTTAATATAAAGGTATAATAATCAAGATAGTGTGGTATTGGCAAAAAAAATAGACAAATGATCAATGAAACAGAACAGAGTTCAGAAACAGACTCTAGTCAACTGATACCTAGCAAAAGGACAAAGGCAATATGATGTAGTAAAAGCAGTCTTTTTGACAAATGATGCTGGAACAACTGGACATCTACATGCAAAAAAATGAATCTAGACACAGACTTTCCACCCTTCACAAAAATTAACTCAAATGGATCACAGAACTAAATGTAGAAGTATACAACTCCTAAAAGAAAACAGAAGAAAATTTAGATGGTCTTGTGTTTGACAGTGGCATTTTAGATACAACACGAAAGGCATAATCCATGATCCACAAGGCTCTCTCCCCTCCCATCCCTGACCCCAAACAACCATTAATCTGTTCTTCGTTTCTATAACTGTATCATTACATGGATGCTATATAAATGGAATTATATCATATGTGATCTTTAGGGATTGGATTTTTTTAAAACCCAGCATTCATGTTGTTGCATGTACTAATGGTTCATTCCTTTTTCAAGTAGTATTCTATGGTACAGGTTTACCAGTATGTTTATTCATCCATTGAAGGGCATCTGGGTTGTTTCCAGTTTTGTTTGTTACAAATAAAACTGCTATGAACATTTATGTACAGGTTTTTATGTGAACATAAGATTTTATCTGGAATAAATGCTCAAGACAGTTACGGGCATTGTGCTACTCATAATGTTGGAGAAAGACCACTTGACAAGAATTATGGAATAAAATATACTAAAGCTTGGTAACTAATATGGGTTGGAGTATTTTATCAGTAAAAGTACAGTCTTTTTTAGTAAGGAAGGGAAATTTTTATACTATCTGAAGTATCTGCGAAAGAAGACAAGCCTCAAAACTGGCAACCAGAAAAAAATAGCTGGAAGACACAGTAGATGTAGAATATCCACTGAACATATTCATATTCTTCAAACTAAACTGGTCCATATACCGAAGACTCTTCAGGGGAAGACTGCCTCTTTACCTCTGAGATCCTACTTCTGGGGTCACTTATAGACAACCAAAGGGTAACAACCTCCTTCTAGACAATTTAATTATCATTACAGAAAACAGGCAGTTACTTTCTAGTGCCAGCTCCTTTTTCACATAGGAAGAAAGATCTAAATGTTATTATGGCCACGTAAAGTTAAGCTGCTAAATAATCAGTACACTATCAACTTTCTCTGAATTCATTTATTTAGAGGTAAAACACAGCCATTCAAAATTGTGGAATACAATGTCTACACACAGAATAAGGTTGGGGAATTAAGCTGAATTGTTATATTCCATTCACATTAATAAATATTTTTAAAGAAGAAAATGTAGATTTTAAAAGCTTCATTAGACACTAGTGACACATACAAATAACTAAACTGTCATACTGCTTGATTTTCAGGGTGAAAGGTTACAATAATCTATATATTTCAATTACATGGCAGTAAATACAAAGCATTTTAAACATCTTTTGAACTGTGTAGTATACTATAAGCAGGAGTTTATTCTAAAACATTCGATCATTCTTCTGACCTGTTTATGGGTCATGCTGGACACCAGCAATGCATTTAACATAAATTATCCACCAGTAATGAGGTGTAAAATCAATTATGCAAGTATTTTGAATAGAAATTATTTTTAAATGTCAGAGAGAATGCTATTACTGGCCAACTTGAAACTTCCTAATTAGCTATCTGAGCTATTTAAGTCTGTACTTCAGTGTCTTCATTTTTTAAAATGAGAAAACTGGACTAGATTTTAGATAAGTACCTACTAAAGCCTAGTGTTTTGCAGTTACTTCCTTCCCTGTCAAAATTTTGCCTCCTTTGATTTTCAATCCTTTTTTTTTTTTTGGTCTCACTTTGTTGCCCAGGCTGGAGTACAGTGGCGTGACCTTGGCTCACTGCAACCTCTGCCTCCTGGGCTCAAGCAATCCTCCCACTTCAGCCTCCTCAGTAGCTGAGACCACAGGCACATGCTACAAAGCCCAGCTTATTTTTTGTAGAAATGGGGTTTCACCATGTTATCCAGGCTGGTCTCGAATTCCTGGGCTCAAGTAATCCACCCACCTCAGCCTCCCAAAGTGCTGAGATTACAAGGGTGAGCTAACATGCTGGCCCAAAGCTAACTTTCAAAGCGAATTTCAAACACTTCCTTCTAACCCATGATTATCCTTTTCAAAACCTTGTCTAAATCCTTCAGAGTTCCAAACATCTCCACTGAACCCATACCTCATAAGTTTAAAACAACCAACAGTTCACTTTGTTGGCAAAGGCCATCTCTACCCACGTAAGATTATTTACTCATTATTCAATTAAGTACCCAAACCTCCATCCATAACCTACACTATTGTCCACTGAACACTCCCTACCTGTGTAAGTCCCATATCAAGGGTAAAATCTCCTAAGATTTTTCAGACAATTGGCATTTAAGTGACTTGTGTATAAATTTTAAAATAAGCCATGTTCTTTGCAGTATCCTACCAGGCAACACATCAAATATTTCAAAAGGCAGCCATACATTTGCTTTAATGCTTCCTTAAACAGCTTAAGGTCTAACATAATTTTAAAATAGTCAAGCAATTTTGTTTTTACTCTTCATTTCACAAGTATAGAGCAGAGAATAAGCCCAATAATGTCCACTTTTACTAACTCATCACCATATTCATAAAACTTTCCCTCGGCAATTCATTCTACTTCACATATCAATGCACTTGGCAAGAAAATAACAAATAAAATGACAAGCAGTAAAATCTAATTCATGCCAGAACACTGGAGAAGTTACATGGGAAGCACAAACATACACAACTTTACAAAAGTTGGGAATACTGTTTTCAAATAAGCAATAATCAAAGTGGGACTTTCATGCTAGAAGTCCCACTCAGTCAAAATCACGATTTGTAAGAACAAGTGGTGCCACGAGTGTCCAAACATACAGCACGATGCCAATCCAACTGGAAGAGATTTTCACCCAGACAGCTGTCCACTGACTTTTCATCTCACGAGAGGGTTCATACCTAAAATTTCAGGGAAAATTATTAAAAAGGGGCAAGTGGGTTGAATTATCAGCCATCAAGCTAGGAAGCTTCATTAATTCAGAAGTGTTCTTTGTATACAGTTTGTGATTTCAGATATATCATTGCTGCATCTAATCTGCTCCCTTTCTTTCCACACTGCTAGTGTGAAGGTAAAAATCTGTTATTTCCTTTAATGGAGTAAAGTACACAGGCCTCTGAAATAGTTATTTTGCATAATCTCTGAAGCACTTTATGCATGTCTGCCATGTTATTAGAAGAGAAACTGAATGTGACCTCTGGATAAATGAGATGTCACTATTACATAAGATTGTTCAAAGTGTATATGGAACTCCTCACCTGATTTCCACCCCGCCCCCCGCCCCTGCCTTCTCAGAATTAAGAGACTGGTATGACTCAAAAGAGACATCTCCTTAAAAACAGAAAGAATTAAGAGACTGGAAAGGAAAGTATATCTCAAGTTTAACTGATTTTTGAGTTAATGAAATACACCAGAATCCTTCTGGTATAAAGCCTTAATATCTACTGTTATCTGACAGCCAAGGATCTGAATTAAGAACCAGCTGGATCCTTATAGCTGAATACGCAACAGTGTAGGAATTTTAAAAAACATTTATTATTTTCAATAATAAAAATCAGTAAAGGCTGTACTCAAAGAAATACAACAAAGAATAATCTTTTTCCTCCATCTTTTGCTGATACTGAAGGCCTTCTTACAAACTGTTTATGAATATTATGCATTAAAAAGGTATTAAAAACAAAACTTCCCCAACCACATAGTTCAATCTGAATCTTTGACCAAATCGTTCAGTAGTCATTTGGACAAAACCAGAACTTTCAAAAATGAAAACACTACAAATCACTACCTTCCTCTTAAAAGAGAAAGATTTATGGATTAAGTTTGAAGTGATAAAAAAGAAAAAGCATAAATTGTAGCTTGTAAGAATTCTAAGAATCTATCTATGTTAATGAATTCATACTTAAATTTAAAAATTTTCAGAGCTTTTAGTAACAGTTCAAACAAAACAGAAAAAAGGATGTATCCTTTACTTCACTATGTTTACAGGATTGAAAAAAATCAACGTTATGTTAGATCCCCTATCAACATGGATTTTGTAAAAAAAAAAAAAAGTATTAGTTTCATGAAAATTTTTATTTTAACCTCTCCAAGATTTGGAACTATTTCAATGTTTCAGTTACTGTTAAAGCAAGGAAGTAAAGATTGCATTTCTCATGCTAATCTCACTATTCATTTAGCTGTACATTTTGAAATATTATCAGAGGATAAAAAGTCCTTCATATCACATCATGGTTTCACAAGAGAATCATAAAAACGCCATCAGAATTCACACATCCAGAGTTTTCATGAAATATAAATACCTGTACCAGTTGGTAAGGGTCATCATGATATAAAGTGAAGCCAGGAAAAGCATGAAGTGAAAGAAGGAATAACTGTAAGTGACACCATCCCTTTCATTATCTACAGCTCGGTGAACATCGTCACCATCCTCCAGTGATCCATCACTTCTAGCTCCACCATCTTCTATTAATGTAGATTCATCGCTTGTTAAAGTCAGTTTATTAACCTGACTATTGTTTGAAGTACGGATGCTGTATGAAAGAGAGTTTAGGAGGAGAGAGAGAAAAGAATATTTTTAAAAGAAATGATTCATAAATAAACAGCTAGACTTCTTGTTTAAAGAAAAAAATTCCATAGTTTTTCCTACCTGGAATAAAATACACACAACAAAAAGAGGATTAGTCCTATAATTCCTTGAGCATGCCACCACTGGACTGATTGCCCTTCCTTTGGGACAGTGCTTGTTGTATTGTAGCCAATTATGCTTAGTAGACTTGGGTTGCAATTTGTTTCTGTAACATAAAGTCAAATTAAAATGTTAGAATATATTAAAAAAATGTTTTTCAGAGCAAACAAAAGTTATGTTTAACTCTCTATACCCCTGCAAACTGAAAAACAACTGCTGGAAAAGGCATCAGTATAACAAAAATAACTGAAGACACCTTGCACTTATGAAGAAGACCTCTGAAGTGTTACAATTCTGATTTTATAGAAGTACCTGGAAAAGTTAAATCATTTAATTTTCAACAACATGTCAGAGCTGAGAGAGAATTACCTCTACCGTCAGGAATATAGATGACCTTTCCAAGGTTAGTATAATTCTAGTAGATTTAGAAAGAAAATTCAGAGACTATAAACCACAATACACTGGCTTTTCTATCATATGTTGAGATTATGAAATGGACTTTATGAAGCTTATCCATTTGATACAGCACATTGTTAAAAAAGCAAGATGGCTTACACAAAAACCAGTTATAAGGACTCCAGCAAATGCCTCGGGGGAATTACCCAATAAGGTGTAACAACCTACTGCTTGCTTACTCCGTTTTATTCTTTTATAAAGAAGAAAGTAGGCCAGGCGCGGTGGCTCATGCCTGTAATCCCAGCACTTTGGGAGGCCGAGGCGGGCGGATCACAAGGTCAAGAGATCGAGATCATCCTGGCCAACATGGTGAAACCTCTTTTCTACTAAAAATACAAAAATTATCTGAGTGTAGTGGCGTGCACCTGTAGTCCCAGCTACTCGGGAGGCTGGGGCAGAATGACTCGAACCCGGGAGGCGGAGGTTGCAGTGAGCCGAAATCACGCCACTGCATTCCAGCCTCCTGACGACAGAACAAGACTCTGTCTCGAAATAAAATAAAATAAAATAAAATAAAATAAAATAAAATATAAAAGAAAGTATGATTGGTGAAATATTCACTACAGTATCTAAAATACGTATTTTTCTCCCACAAAGCCAGATCTGTCAAACTCCATCTTACTAATGAAAATGACTCTTATCTTAAAGCCAATTAAGTAAGGCTATTTCCTTCTCTAAAGCAAATTACTAGTAATTTTTTTCTAACCACTTACTTGGAAAAAAAAATAGAAATCTTTCTGTAATACATCAAAACAAAAAACAAAAAAAAAATCTTGGTCTCCAAGTTATAAAGTACCCATGATAAAATACCTTCAGTTTGTAAACTCAGTGAGAGTCATGTAACATCAGATAAATTTTTTAGGAAAAGAGATCATTTTCTTTCTTTTAATAGGTAATAATTTTTGTCTATTCTAATTTGTCTCCTTTCAACATATTCTATTCTAATGGTATGCAATATAACTAGTCTATAATAAGATGCATTACAAAGCCCAATTATCAAATTCAATTGTAAGGTAGTCACAGGCTAGAAGAGTAATTTAATAATGTGAAAAAATTACACTGTTCACAATTGAACAAGAGGAATTTGAAGAGCTTATCTTTCTATATACAACGATCATACGCTCTATGCAAATTAGATACCTTCCTTATAATTTCAACCAGTTTCTTACAGACATACCTTGTTTTATTGTGCTTTCTTTTTTTTTTTTTTTTTTTTTTTTTTAGCATTTCACAGATACTGTTCTTTTTACAAATTGAAGGTTTGTGGCAACTCTGCATTAAACAAGTCTATTGGTTCCATTTTTTCTAACAGTGTGTACTCACTTCGTGTCTGTTTCACATTTTGCTAATTCTCGTAATATTTCACAATTCTTCATTATTATTAATTAATCTGTTATGGTGATCTCTCTACAGTGACCTATTATGTTACTGTTGTAATTTCTTTGGGGCACCACAAATCACACTCATATAAGATGGTGAAATAACAAACATTCTGTGTGTTCTGACTGTTCCACCAACCAGCCATTTCCTTGTCTCTATCCCTCTCCTCCGGCCTATTTCAAGACACAACCATATGGAAATTAGGCCAATTAACAACCCTGCAATGGCCTCTAACTGTTCAAGTTTTCTCACTTAAAATCAAAAGCTAGAAATGATTAAGCTTAGTAAGGAAATCATGCCAAAAGCTGAGATAGGTCAAAAGCTAGGCCTTCTGTGCCAGTTAGCTGAGTTGCAAATGCAAAGAAAAGAAAGAGTTCTTGAAGGATATTAAAAGTGCCACTCCAGTGAACATGAACACACAAATGATAGATAAGAAAGCAAAGCAGTCTTATTGCTGATATGGAGGAGAAAGTTTTAGTGACCTGGATAGAAGATCAAACTAGCAGAGCATTCCCTTAAGCCAAAGCCTAATGCAGAGCAAGGCCCTATCTCTCGCTTCAAGTTTATTAAGGCTGAGAGAGATAATGAAGCAGAAGAAAAGTTTCAAACTAGATGGGGTAGGTTCTTGAGGTTTAAGGAAAGAAACTGTCTCCATAACATAAAAGTATAAGGTGAACCTAAGTGCTGATGCAGAAGCTACAGCAAGTCATCCTGAAAATCTAGCCAACAAAATTAATCAAAGTAGCTACACTGGCCAGGCGTGGTGGCTCACGCCTGTAATCTCAGCACTTTGGGAGGCTGAGGCGGGTGGATCAACTGAGGTCAGGAGTTCGAGACCAGCCTGGCTAACATGGTGAAACCCATCTCTACTAAAAATACAAAATTAGCTGGGTGTGGTGGCGCAGTCTGTAATCCCAGCTACTCAGGAGGCTGAGGCAGGAGAATGGCTTAACCAGGAGGCAGAAGTTGCAGCAAGTGGGGATCTCACCATTGTACTCCAGCCTGGGCAACAAGAGTGAAATTCCATCTCAAAAAAATAAAAATAAGAAAAGAGAAAGCAGCTACACCAAACAACAGATTTTCAAAAAAGACAAAACAGATTTCTACTAGAAGAAGATATAATCTAGGACTTTCATAGCTATAGAGAAGTCAGTCAATGCCTGGCTTCAAAGCTTAAAAGGATAGGCTGACTCTCTTGTTGGGGGCTAATGCAGAGAGTGATTTTAAGAGAAAGCCAATGTTTATTTACCATTCCAAAAGTCCTAGGGCCCTTAAGAATTCTACTAAGTCTATTCAGCCTCTCTATGAATAGAAAAAAGGCTAGATGACAGCACATCTGTTGAAAATATGGTTTATGGAATATTTTAAGCTCATTGTTGGGACTTACTGCTAAAAGAAAGATCCTTTCAAAACATTACTACTCACTGACAATGCACCTGGGTCACCCAAAAGCTCTGACAGAGATGTACAGGGAGATTAATATTTTCATGTCTGCTAACACAGTATTTATTCTGCAGCCCATGGAAAAAAGGAGTAATTTGAACATTTAAATCTTATTATTTAAGAAATGTATTTTGTAAGGCTATAGCTGCCATAGAGTAATTCCTCTGATGGATCTGGGTGGGCAAAGTAAACTGAAAACCTTCTGGAAAAGATTCACCATTCTAGATGCTATTAAGAACATTCATGATTCATGGGAAAATGTCAAAATATCAACATTAACAGGAGTTTGAAAGAAGCTGATTCTAACCCTCATGGATGACTTGAGGATTTCAAGATTTTAGTGGAGGAAGTAGCTACAGATATGGTAGAGAGAGCAAGAGAACTAATCAGTGGAACCTGAAGATGTGACTGAATTGCTGCAGTTTCATTATCAAACCTGAATGATGAGGATTTGCTTCTTATGGATGAACAAAGTAGTTTTTTGAGATGGAATCTACTCCTGATGAAGATGCTATGAATATTATTGAAATGACAATAAAGGAGTTAGAATTTACATAAACTTAGTTAATAAAGCAGCAGCAGGTTTAAGAGGATTGACTCCAATTTGGAAGGAAACTCTACTCTGGGTCAAATGCCATCAAACAGCATCATATGCTACAGAGAAATATTTTGTGAAAGGAAAAGTCCATCAATGGGCAAACTTCATTGTTGTCTTAGTTTAAAGATACAAAAACCGCCACCCCAACCTGCAGCAACCAACACCCTGTTCGGTCAGCAGCCATCAACATTGAGGCAAGACCTCCTACCAGCAAAAAGATTACAACTCGATGAAGGCTCAGATGACTGTCAGCATTTTTTGGAAATAAAGTACTTTCAAATTAAGGAATGTACATTGTTTTTCTAGATATAATGCTATGGCACACTTAACAAACTACAGTGTAAAATAAACAAAAGTTTTATATGCATTGGGAAACCAAAAAATTCTTGACTTGCTTTACTGTGATGTTTGTTGTATTGTGGTGCTCTGAAAATGAACTCACAATTTCTCTTAGGTATACATGTAACCTTCTTATAATTTTGTTAGTGATGGAAGAAACTAAGGGAAGAAATAGTAATACATCAAAGATGAAAACTTTTCATACTTTATTCCTCTGGGAGCCTAATTTTTAAGTAATTTAATCTCACCAAAAGACAATTTCTGGAAAAACAACAACAACAACTGCAGAACCTTTAGAAACACATGATATAAACAAAACACACCTGGTTCATTGGTCATAGCCGACCATGTCAAATACATTGTGTAGACTGTAATCACTGAAGACTGTAATAAACCAGATCTTGGTTGTGATTCCTACAAAAAAAAAATAATAATACATACATGTATATATTAAGCAACACAGGTAAATATTCTAGACATCATTCTAGATTTTTGAAAACTTTAAAAGGTACAAGCTTCATAAAAGCTAATGCTTTAAAGGGCATACTTGGATTTTTGGCAGTATAGACATTACAGAAGCACCAACGCAGAGGAGCATGTTGACACTGATGAACGCCTTGTTTTCTGAACAACTGGCTGGATGAGTGTAGTAGACAAAGAACAGGACGATAGCAACTAAAGACAGCAGATAATTCAGAGCTGTAGCTGATAACAAGGCTGTGAAAGAAATATAATTGGATAATTAGCTTTTTATCAGAAATATTAGCAATTAGAAATGGGACCTGTTTTATAAACAATCTGTCATTTTGTCAAAAAATATATTTTAAGCAACTAACATTGTCAGCATTATAAAGGCTTATAAAAGCAGGAAAGAAAATTAATTCCGACCTTTATTGCTTAAGAATTCTAGTTTTTACACATATCTCACTATTACACATTTGCAAGGATGGCAAGTTAGTAAGAAACTAATATGATTTATTAGTAATATCTATATTAGAGTTTATAAACTATGTTTACATGTTAGCCATTATTTTCAAAATAAAGAAAAATAACTATAAGAGGAATATTACTTAAGATTCTTAAAAAACCATTATCACTCAGTTGTAAACAAGGGCATTAAGAAAATTGTTTTCATTCTTAATGTTAAGCCCTCATAACAATGATGCTTTTCCTCATGAACTAAAATCTTAAAAGATACATATTATGCAAAGGTAAGTCATTATTATTTAATAAGTCAACCTATGCTTTTTCTATGTAAATTTCAACATACACAAGTTGTTTAGCCTTTATGCTAATATGTGCTTAATATACAAGTATTTATGTAGATTTGCCTCACTGACAGGGGATCCATCCAACAAATATTTATTGAATGCCTGCGTTCCAGGCCCTGGGGATACAGCAGGGAACAAAAGAGACAGAAACCCTTGCATTAGATTTTGCATTTAGAGAACAAGGTATTCAATGTAAGTGAAATTTCCAAATGACTAAAGCTTGTTTCTTTGAGCACCAAATTATTTTAACTTGAACCACTGAGATCAACCACCACAAATTAGTTGTGTGAGAAGAATATTAGGCCAGCAGAAACGGATTTGGTTTGCACTCCAATTTAAAATTTTTTTTAGCTGAAACTCAGGTCATTTAGAATGAAAATCCAGATTTATGACTTCTTTTGAAAAACATTAGAAAAATCAAGCAATACTGAGTTCACATTCCCACAAGGCAACTAATAAATGGAGCTGAGCAGTAGCAATGCACTTTAGATGGGGCATTCATACTCTCGAACTCATTGTAGTCCCTACTATTTGGACAAAGCTTATGCACTTAAACTTTGTCTTCCTGTTCGCTCATTTTTGTTACCTGGTTTGGTCCTGTAAGCATCTGAATTGTGATATCTGTTTTCAAGTATAACCCCAAAGAACTCGACCTCATCATTAAAAATAACCATTAATTACATCACTATAGGAATTCCTTTAGTTGTTACTGATGCACATAAAAGCATCCTTTGTACTTATATAAAACGTCCAAGTTGCTTTTTATATTTTTATTTGCTGCTGTTTATGAATTGTATCACTGTGTGTTTATCTATTCCTAGCAATCTTCTTCCCTTTAATATTTTACCTTTAACCCATTGTAGGCTAGAAAATTAGACTATAAAGTGCACATGCTTTGTATTCAGGTTCTTTTGGATCCTTTCCCGGTTCTTGGGTTATGTTCCCAGTTAACCTGCTAAAAGATCTAATCACCAAGTTGCTGATACAATGTGATATTTTGAGTTTAAATTAAATACCTCTTCGTAGGAAATTAGACCATAAAAATCCTAAGTGATTTACCTGGTCTACATATCTATTCTTGACTTCAAAGTTCAACTATACTGAAGTTGTTTTGCGACAAAAGCTTACCTGCATACCAACATCTCGAGTTCCCTTCTTCCATTTTTTCAACCCATGATTCGTTCCATGAATGTGCAAAATCAATAAGTAAGACTAATTGTATGAGGATGAAACAAAAGGCACCTGCCATGCCTACATAAAACCACACTGAAAGGGAAAAAAAAGCATACATAAGTGGTTGGTTAGTTTGATTTTTATCAATTCCTTTAAAAATCACAGTACACAAAAAGGAAAATAAAATTTTATATGAACATCTTGATTTTGCCAACTGGGAAAACACACACACACACACATATATACACCCAAAAAGACGAACAATTAGAGTTATAGTTCCAGGTAACAATTATTTCAGATTCCTTTATAAAATATCAACGTCAAACAACTTAAAAAGGATTTCTTACCGGTTGTAAAAGTTCCTTCTGGAATGAAGAATGCCCCAATAATAATTGCAATTGCTGCAGCAAATTTAAAGAACCAAAATCTAAAACAAAAAGAAACATAATTTTTATTAATAAACATTCATTCATCAAATAATTTCATATATGAAATCATTAAACTGCATCTTAACAAACAGCTACTCTTTATGTGAATGGTCTACTTCTTTCTGAGGATATTATGATGATCTGGAGTGTAGCCATATTTGTAACTACAAAACAAGGTAATCATCATATTTAGATAACTTAGTTTGGAGAGAGAGTGAAATTAACCATTACCATGAACCCAAGCTTATATTATAGATCTTTCCAATTGGAAAGAACAAAGCAAAAAAAAAAAATCTGATAAGAAAGGCAAGTCAAAATGTGAAAGGAATGGATTAAAGCCCAGACCGCGCTAGAGGAAGCATCAGAGCAAATGGCTGGAAAAGACAGGGAAATGATAAGACATTTCAGGGACTACTGGACACTGGTTCTGAGTTGACATTGATTCCAGGGTACCCAAAACATCACTGTGGTCCCCCAGTTAAAGCAGGCGTTTATGGAGATCACTGGGTCACTCCACCAGGAAAAAAACACCTGCTGAGTTGCTTGCTGAAGGCAAAGGGAATAAAGAATGGGTAGCAGAAGGCAATCATCAATACCAGCTACGACCACATGTCCAGCTGCAGAAATGAGGGCTGTAACTGTCATAAGTACTTCCTCGTTTTGTCAAAAACATGTTCATGCATGCATATACTCGTACTAAGAAAATATTTTCATTTCCTTTCTCCTTTATCATGTGACATAAGATTTACTGACTTCACATCAGCATTTAAGTATTGTTAACTATGTAATAGTATTTGGGTTGGGGACTGGTGTGTTTTCAGTTGACCTTATTTTTGTCTTCATTTGCAGATTATGTATGGTCTCAGGAGGTGTATTCGGGTTCAAGTTGACGATGGGTAGACTTCTGATAGTTAATATTGAGTGTCAACTTGAATTCAAGGATGCAAAGTACTGACTTGTGATGGTTAATACTGAGTGTCAACTTTATTGGATTGAAGGATGCAAAGTACTGATGCTGGATGTGTCTGTGAGGGTGTTGCCAAAGGAGATTAACATTTGAGTCAGTGGGCTGGGGAAGGCAGACCCACCCTTAATCTGGGTGGGCACCATCTAATCAGCTGCCAGCAGGGCTAGAATATAAAGCAGGCAAAAAAGAAGTGAGGACTAGACTGGCCTAGCCTCCCAGCCTACATCTTTCTCCCATGCTGGATGCTCCCTGTCTTTGAACATCAGGCTCCAAGTTCTTCAGTTTTGGGACTCGGACTGGCTCTCCTTTCTCCTCAGCTTGCAGACGGCCTATTGTGGGACCTTGAGATCATGTAAATTAATACTTAATAAACTCCGCTTTGTATATATATCTATCTATCCTATTAGTTCTGTCCCTCTAGAGAAACCTAATACACTTGATTATCAGAAAAGACAACAATTATATAAACTGCTTTTAAGACCATTTTGAGAAAGATGTATTTCTCACTAATTCATTATGAAAAAACGAGAATGTTAGTTCCATTTCACAGGCTTATTCACATAAGTGGGATAATATATCAAAGTATAAGGTGAACTGTATAAATGAATAGTTTTTATAAACACATGATAAATGCCTCCATCTAAAACTCTAATAATTTAACAAAATAATCAATGACTAAAGGAACACAATAAAAGATAATCAACCTGTCACATATTTTCTCATTAATATTTATATTCTACTTGTTTATTCCTTTTGTCTTTGGTAGCACATGTTACTAGATAAGCAACAGCAGATATTAAAACAGTTAAATAAGGGTACCAGAGGTAGTGCTCTATATGAAGGAAGATGATAAATAAACCCTGAAGTTTCTTTCTGGGTTGTCTAATACAACCAACCTAGAAAAATCTGCTCTCTGGGTCTAGGGAACTGAGAGTTCCATGCAAGTGGATTGGTCCACCAAAAGTTAAGAGGAGGAGGAGAAATAGCTATTCCCTTAGTAGTCACAAATATAACACAGTCTCTTTTTTAGGATGAAAATATAAAACACTGTGGATCAGAGGTTATTATAGCTATTATTTAATATCCAAAGTCTGACATTCTCCAGTAAAAACAAGATTTTCTCACCCTGTCATTCACGAATAAAGTAATTCTGCAAATTGTATAAGTTTATTTTACCTTAAGGTTTCCTTAGATAAACTGGCAATTACCAATGAGAAGCTACCCAGGCTTTTATATTGAAGCTTATTTGAAAACTTACCCATTGTGCACTGCAGCTCTAGGATCACTGCTACTCTTCACTTTGATCATTAGTAAAGAGAGAAGAAGATAGAACATAGCCAAACCAAAGCACAAACGATATACAGCTTTATAGCCAACCAAAATATTACAAGGGACAACACCTTTCTCATTCTCACAAAATCCAGGAATCTAGAAAAACAAAAGGGTTTGATCCATCATTTTTTCATTAAGTAAAAGTAAAAATTACATGTAATCAAATAGTTTAAGTAAACGTTTAGAAAACTGGAATTTGCTTTACAATTTATGATGAATATGTACTCAAGATGAGTCTGATACATTTTAATCACATCCAGTGGGGAAAAAAGAGTTAAATCCCCATCTGAGCAAATCATAAACTATAATACCAACTCTATGCTGGATGGTTATTTTGAGTTACAGATTTATCCTACATTTTAAAAACTTGCATTCTACTTGAATAGCATGATATACTTGTTTTGGTAGTGTAAGTGCTATTTCTGAGACTACTGTTCAAAACTATTAATACATCTATTATTCATATATGTAAGAATAAATTATTTCCTCCCACTCCTTCCAGTCCCAGCACTCTAAAAAGAACTGCTTTTTCAGCACACTAGTCATGTACTAGTTTTCAAATCCAAAGGCTATTGCTTAATCACATTCCTTAATCCCATTTTTATATAGACACTACCCCTGTCATTCTTAAAACTTTCTTCCTAGAACCTGTACTTTTTTTTTTTTTTCTGTTATCCCTTCCCTCCCAGTTTTTCCTTTCTCCACTAACTCCCTTAAGTAAGAGATTCTGGCAAAGTTCTAGCTCTGCTCACTCTGAATGATCTTCAGCATATGATGCCATGGTTTCAACATTCAATTTCTATCCTCAAGGCAGTCTCTAGCCGCTGTGATTTCTTTTAAATTCCTTCATGTTTTCTACTTGCTGCTGTATATTATTATGGACTTCATGTTTGTGTCTACCCAAAATTAAATGCTAAAAGCCTAACCCTCAATGGGAGGATAGTGGGAGATGGGGTCTTTAGGTGGTAATTAAATCATGAGGGTAGAGCCCTCAGGATGGGATTAATGCCCTTATAAAAACAGATAGAAGAGAGCTGCTGCTTTCTCTCAACAATGTAAGATGACCGTGTGTAAACCAGGAATAAGACCCTCACCAGAACTTGACCATAGTGGCCCCTTGATCTCGGACTTTCAGCCTCCAAAACTGATAAATAAATTTTTGTTGTCTTAAGCCACCCAGCCTATGATACTCTTGTTATAGCAGCCTGAACTAAGACATATATATATATATAAATATACACACGTACATGATACAATACCACCAAGTCAACATGTTAGAAGCTAAATTTATTACATGTTCCCCATCTCCTTCCACAACCTGACTCTCTCTAAAAATTTTTCTTTCTGGGTTAATAGCAACACTTTTCTCCCAGTTTTCTAGGATCAGAACCTGGTTGTTATTTATGATTCCATCACTGCCAATATTTCAATGCCAGGTTCAGTCAATTTTACATCCAGAAAATCTTACTTCAGGTCCTCTATTCTCTTCTTGATTATACCACTGCAACAGCCTCCATATTTAACTGCTTGACTTTTATACTTTATTAATTGTAAGATTAATCTTCCTAAAGTACAGATACTTTGCTCAAAAAGCTCTTTTATACTCATTATGCTTTCTATTTTTCAATCTCTGTATATGAAAGTTCTAACCATTCTTAGAATATCCTTTTTTCCATCACCCACTGAGATTCTGACACCTGATTAAAATTATACTTCTGTGTATTACCACAGTACATTTCCTGTACCACCATCAAAGAACTTAACAAGCTAACGTATATTATCTTTGTTTTTCCTAAAAGATTATAAACTACAACTAGGATTACATACTGTCATATTCTATATTAATCTGTTTACAATATCCCTGAATCAGTTTTATTCATATACATATATACCCTATAGCCTCAGTTAATCAATAAATAAGAAATGAGACTAACCTTATTCAGTTGTTCTTCCATTCCTGGTATCAACATTACACAAGCTACACATACTCCAACAAGTAAGAAAAGTGCATAGATCAGTCTAGTTACAGTGGAGTTGTTTCCACTAGGACAGCATCGGCATAGCAAACACGGGGCACTTCCACACAAACATGGTATCTGGGAAAAAGAATATTATTAAAAATATTATTAAAAGCCAGTAAATCAGTAGATCTTAAAATGATACAATGAAAATTGACATTCTATCCAAAAAAGAAAAAAGACTCAAAGTAATTACATCAAGGGACATAAGGTATTTGGTTCATATAAATTATCTATATACCACAAAACTTAGCAACTTCTAAGAAGGAGTAAAGACAAAAAAGCCCTTGGACTCTATGACAGGTAAAATGAACAAATCAGCTAAAACAAAAAGGGGGAAAAAATCATCAGTAGTAACCAAAGTTTAAATAAGAAAAGAAATGGAATATACATGAGTAGCACAGCTGCTAAACCCACCACCTCCAGCGCCTGCCCTTTAGCCCCCAGATACTAGACTGAAGAATACACAAAATTCTGAGGATTCTCAAATACATCCAGGGAGGAAAAAAAAAAGTGAATTGATATGTTTTCCTTCTTTTGACCTGGTGATAGTGATAATGAAAACTACAACTAGAGTGAGCCAAAAAGGATAATAATACAACTGGGGCTAGCTAACTTTCTCCAGTGACCACCACACTAAACTAGCAGCATGCTCCCAAGGGAACAGAGACCACCACACTAAACTAGCAGCATGCTCCCAAGGGAACAGAATATCTTCCTGTCCAGGAGAGAGCAACACTGGTACAGAGTATTTACGAGTATCTAAGAAAGCCACAGAGTAAATATTCTCATAATACCATAACCTGGGCTGACATGTCAGACTTCTAGAAGGTGGATGAACCAGATCTTCCAGGCCTAGAATTACAACTCTAGGGGAAAACAGTCTTAGATACCAGCTAGAGCACTACATCAACCAATATAAGGTAAGAATAAAGCTGCTTTATATTAAACGTCCACAAAACAGAAATAAATGTCATGGCAACTATGTAAATATACTTTAGCAAAAATTAAACATAAACATCTCCCCTCAGAAAAAGGAATGAAGAAAATATAAGGCATATGAAGAATTCAGTCTGAAATAAATATAATCCAGTAAGGAAATTCTCTACCAGTATTTCATTTGAGCTATAAAAAAATAACAAAAATATTTTTTTTTTAAAAAAGGAGACCTTAAAAATGAAATAAGAACAGAACACAGTGGAAAGTGGGAATCAAAGGGCTAAAGAAATGAGAAGGGGAAAAACAGACTTAACTAATAACTATCAAGAAACAAAACAGACATAGGTAAAAATAAAATTACTGATGAAAAAAGGCTTGGGATAATCACTATAAATTCAGGTCAAGATGGAGAAACCATGACCCGACTCATCCTCTTGACTTAAACAATGGAAAACACAAGTTTTTCAGACAATGAACAACGGGCAATGTCAAGCAGTAATTTCTAAGAGGAGACAATGTGAGCCCTATGACTGGCCCTTATTTTACCAAATGATCGATTGACAGTCTCCTTCTGTCGCCTAGGCTTGGAGTGCAGTAGTGCGATCTCCGGTCACTGCAACCTTCCCCGCCCCCACCCCGGGTTCATGGGATTCTCCTGCCTCAGCCTCCTGAGTAGCTGGGATTGCAGGCGTACACCACCACACCCAGCTAATTTTTGTATTTTTAGTAGAGACGGGGTTTCACCATGTTGGCCAGGCTGGTCTCAAACTTCTGACCTCAGGTGATCGCCTACCTTGGCCTCCCAAAGTGCTGGGATTGCAGGCGTGGCCCACCTTGACCGGCCCTTATTTCTGCCTGGGGAGAACGTCCACTGCAGGGAGGGTCTGGGAATTTTACCACCCAGAGGTGAAAAACTTTGTAATCCATGAGGCATTGGGTAGAGATATCAGAAGGCAATTAATACTGGAAAAAAATCAGCCATCAAACTGAAGGCTGCACTAGTTGCACTTAACGAAACCTAAAGGCAAATAAAAAGATCACACTGTCTCTAAGTAAAATCACCCAAGTCAAAGATAAAAGCCCAATAATATATCTATATTTTTTAGTAAAAGTATATCCAGCACTGATCAAGGAAAAATTTACACTGGACAGCTAACAAAAAATTAGCAGGCAGGCAAAAAACAGAAAAATACAACCTATAATGAGGATCAATCAGTCAATATCAACCTGGAAATGATACAGATAACTGAGATCATTTATAAATAGGGCACTGTAGTATTCTTGTAAGTGTATTATTTCACATGCTCAAGGAGGCAGAGGAAAACTTGATCATGTTACGGACAGACATGCAAGATAATTTAAAATTAAGACCCATATCGTACTTCTCCAGATGACAAAATAAGCCCCCTAAATATCGACAAGACAGAAGAAAAGATTAATAATGAACCTAAAGACATAAGAAACTAAATGATCCAAAATGAAAAAGAAATAAAAATAAGAAGATCGGAATGTCGTGAGACAACTTTAAATAGCCTAATATAAGTGAAATTAGAGATGAACTTCAATTGGAGAGAAGTGAACTGGAGAGAACAGATACAAGGGTGCTTTTGAGGAAGTAACTGCCAAAATTTTTCCAATTTTATGAAAACTATTAATTCACAGATCCAGGAAACTCAACAAAGCCCTAGCAAAATAAACATGAAAACCACACCAAGTCACATCATAATCAAATTACTTTAAAAAAGTAATAATCAGAAAAATCTTAAAAGTAGGCAGAAAAATAAAATGTACATTATAAACTGAGGAACAAAGAAATAAATCACACTTCTAGTAAGAAACGGTTCAAGCCTAAAATTAGTACTGAAAGAAAAAATATATAAACAGAATTTTGTACTCAGTGAAAGTATCTTCCAAAAATTAAGGCGAAATAAAGACCATTTTCAGGAATAGAAAAGACAAAATAATCCAAACAAGCAGACTTAAACTGCCAGAGATGTTGAAGGAAATCCTCCAAGAAAGAAAATTATACCAGACAGAAATTTGGATTTGCATACAAAAGAAGAAAAGAAACAGTAAATAGATACATTCTTCTTATTTAAAAAAATGGGCCAGAATTACTGAGACTAAATCCAAAGACATCATAAGAAAATAATAGACAAATATCCCTCATAAACATAAAAACTTCTTAATGATATTTTAGCAAGTCAAAAACAACAATATGAAAGTATATAAAAAGGGTAACATATTGTGACCAGGTAGAGTTTAGCCTGGAAAAGCAAGGTTGGTTCCACTTTTAAAAATCAACCAATGAACTCGACCGTAAAAACAGACTAAAGAAAAAACATGGTCATCTCAATAGATATAGAAAAACCATTTGACAAAATTAAATACCGATTCATGATATAAACTGTCAACAAGGAACAGAAGATAACATCCTTAATTTGATAAATGGCATTTACAAATATCTATAGCTCTCATCCATAATTGATGATGGAAGTCTGAATGCTTTCCCCGTAAGATATCAAACAAGTTGTATTGGTCCCAGCCAATACAACGAGGTAAGAAAAAAACTAAAACATAAAAATTGGAATGGAAGACACGAAACTGCCCCCTTCACATGTAGCACAACTGTCTACATAGAAAATCCCAAAGAGGGCCATGAACCATGGCTCACACCCGTAATCCCAGCAATTTGGGAAGCTGAGGCAGGAGGACCATTTGAGCCTAGGAGTTCAAGGATATAGTAAGCTATGATAGTGCCACTGCACTTGAGTCTGGATGATAACAAAATAAAACAAACAAAAAACAACAACAACAAAAATACCCCACAAAGAACCTACAAAAATGCAACTACAACTAACTCTTCAAGGTCACATGATTAAAAAGTCAATATACACAAATCAATCATGTTTCTACATATTAGTAACAACTGAAAACAAAAAGAAAATAGTTATAAATCTAACAAAACATAGAAAAGATCTCAAATAATGAAAACTACAAAACATTGATGAAAGAAATCAAAGACCTAAATGAATGGCAAAATATAGAGTTCATGGATTGGAAGACAATTATTTTCAAGATATCAGGTCTTTCCAAACTTATCTATAGATTCAGTCTAATTCCAATCACAATCCCAATATCAGATTTACAGAAATAAACTAGCTGAAAAGGCAAAAACACTAGAATAGCTCAAACAAGTCTGAAAAAAGAGCAAAGTTAAAAGACACACTACCTGATTTCAAGACTAGCATTAAAGTGACAGTAATTAGAGTGATACAGGGAAAAGGGTGGACACAGTAAGCAGAACACAATGAAGTTCAGAAATAGACTGATGCAAATATGATCAAAGGATTTTTGACAAAGATACCAAAGCAATTCACTATGGAAAGGATAATCTTTTTAATAAATGGTGCTGAAATAACTGGATATTCATACATTTTTTTAAAAGTTAACCTTAAGCCATAATCAAACCATATACGAAAATTAAGATTTCCTGGATACCATATAAAAAAAGGACTCACAATAGAAAAACAAATGAATTGGGCTTCATTAAAATTAAGAACTTTTGCTCTTTAAAACACACTGCTGAGAATGAAAAAGCAAGCCATAAACTTGAAAATATTTGCAAGTGAGGTATGTGATAAATCATTGGCATCCAGAATATAAAAGGAACTCTAAAAACTCAGTAATAAGAAAACATACAACTCAATTAAAAAATGGGCAAAATATTTAAACAGATACTTTAATCAAAGGCATATAGACAGCAAATAAGCAAAGAAAAAGTGCTCAATATCATTATTAGGGAAACGTACATTAAAATCAGAGATACTACTACCTGCATATTAGAACGGCTAAAAGGAAATAAACTGATACCAACTACTGACAAGAATGCAGAGTGACTAGAACTCTCTTACTTTGGTGGTGAGAATGAAAAATGGTACAACCATTTTGGAAACCAGTTTGTTTCTTTTTAAGTCAAACATGCACTTACTGTATGAATAAGCAAATCCACACTCAGATATTTATTCAAGTGAAATAAGACCTTATAATCACACACAAAAAAACCTTTATGGGAATGCTTATAGCTACTTTATTTGTAATCATCAAAACCTAGAAAGGCTCCTCAAACGGTGAATGGA